TGAAATCTTTAGATGAGAAATGTGTAAAAAAATGAGAAACACTTGTTAACTTGTGATGTTTGAGTCATTTCCCATATTTTTATTGATTTATTGGAATTTAAAGAAGTCATCACAAGAAGTCACTTGGAATATAGTTGTGAATTATTTTATTACAAAGAAATACACTTTAATTTACCAGTAATAGATCTGTCAGGACTATCACAAGTGTTTTATATGGTGTTACCCTTTTCTAGCTTTTATGTTTTAGAGCTGGTAACAATTGTATTCTGTTCTCTGTACAAAAACCTGCAATGTATACAGCTATGAAATTCATTTCTTTCTCATATATCAGGTTCCATGTTAAACTGATGTTCTTTATATCACTGATATTTAAAAGAGTGAGTCTCCCCATCAAATCTATCAACTTCAAAAGATGCCTTTATTCTGAATATATTTTCCATCTTCATATTGTCAAACTTTTGCTGACTAAACATGGTAAGAAACCTTGATTTCTCACCAAGAGTTTTTCTGTTGTTTCTTTTGCATTTCTACTCCTGGTATGTCAGATCAGTTGTATAGCTTCTTTGAATGTTTTATCTTCTTCATTGGAATGTGTTATCTTGAAGTTACTTTTTGTTAATGCTATTGTTTTCCCTTACAATTATACTTCAAAGTTTTAAACTCATTAATAATGGCTGTAGGGTTAAAATAGAACATATTCCATACTAGAATGAATTGATATTATTGTGAGACAATGTTCACAATAATATCATTAAACATTCTTTATATATTGAAAACAGTCCCTAGGTAAATAAAGGTCTACCCACAAATCTCTCAAACTCCCTTCCACTTAATTTACCCAAGCTAAGCAAAGAAATTCTAGTTTTCTTCATGAAATTGCCAAACTGAACTCTCCTCTTGCCCTTTCCATCAAAACTCTGTCCTAAGCACTCTTGCCAAATCAAATTTTCTAATATCTTTTTATGTTTCTGAAACTTCATCCCTGGGATCAATTTTAGTCAAACATTGTCTTCCTTTAGGTTGCTGTAGAATTAAAAAATATATAAAAATATAACTGTTAAAGGAATCATTTATTTCCCAAATCCTCACATTTTTCAGGGAAATAGATGTTGCATTTCTCATCCTCCATATCATAGGTGGTGAATACTTTGATCACCTTCTATTTGTCAGTGTCCATTTTGTCATAACTTTCTTGATGCACTTCTTTTGTTTGAGACATTGATACTTAGAGTGCTTGGATGTATTGTACAGAACCCTAACCTCTATTTAATGGCTAATTGCTTTTCTTTGTTATTAAAAGTTGGCATCCACAGCCCTGGCTCACTAGGCTAATCCTCCGCCTTTGGGCACCAGCACACCGGGTTCTAGTGCCGGTCTGGGCACTGGATTCTGTCCAGGTTGCCCCTCTTCCAGGCCAGCTCTCTGCTATGGCCAGGGAGTGCAGTGGAGGATGGCCCAAGTCCTTGGGACCTGCACCCGCAAGGGAGACCAGGAGAAGCATCTGGCTCCTGGCTTCGGATCGGCGCAATGCGCCGGCCACAGCTCGCCGGCCCGTTCGTGGCGGCCTTTGGAAGGTAAACCAATGGCAAAAAGGAAGACCTTTCTCTCTGTCTCTCTCTCTCTCACTGTCCACTCTGCCTGTCAAAAAAAAAAAAAAAAAAAGTTGGCATCACCACTTTCTGTGTATCTTATTCTTCCTCTCCAAATTGTTCAACTCCCTCTTTTGTAGTATGAAACTAAATGTTTTTCCACTTTAATTGCCAGGCAATATTTCTAAACCGTTCTCTCTCCTTGTTGTGACTTCACAGTCAACAGTGGTGTCAGAGAGACAGTTTCCAATCTGTTATCATCTGTGAATATCATTAATGTTTAATCCCAGTGGGAGTCAAGTTGGGAATTGATAATTTCTTTTCTCTTTCTTCTTGTCTACAGAGGATCAGTTTAGTATGCATTAAGTAAGGATTTCAACAGTTTGCACCCCCATAGAAACACAAAGTGAAATATATTGTTTGAGTACTCGTTATAGCATTAAATCTCAATGTACAGCACATTAAGGATAGAGATCCTACATGAGGAGTAAGTGCACAGTGACTCCTGTTGTTGACTTTACCAATTGACACTCCTGTCTATGGCATCAGTAATCTCCCTATGCTCCAGTCATGAGTTTCCAAGGCTATGGAAGCCCTCTGAGTTCTCCGACTCTTATCTTGTTTAGACAAGGTCATAGTCAAAGTGGAGGTTCTCTCCTCCCTTCAGAGAAAGGTACCTCCTTCTTTGATGACCTGTTCTTTCCACTGGGATCTCACTCGCAGAGATCTTTTGCCAGAGTGTCTTGGCTTTCCATGCCTGAAATACTCTCATGAGCTTTTCAGCCAGCTCCGAATGCCTTTAGGGCTGATTCTGAGGCCAGAGTGCTATTTAGGACATCTGCCATTCTATGAGTCTGCTGAGTATCTCACTTCCCATGTTGGATCACTCTCCCCTTTATTTACTCCATCAGTTAACGTTAGCAGGTACTAGACTTGTCTATGTGTTCCCTTTGACACCCAGTCCCTTCACCATGACCAACTGTGAACTGAAACTGATCACCTGGAACAGTGAGATGGCATTGGTACATGCCACCTCGATGGGATTGAATTGGAATCCCCTGCTATGCTTCCAACTCCACCACTTGGGGCAAGTCAGCCTGAGCATGTCCCAAATTATACATCTCTTCCCTCTCCCATTCCCACCACCATGTTCAACAGGGATCACATTTCAGTTAATTTTCAACACTTAAGAATAACTGTGCATCAATTACAGATCTAAACCAGTCATATTAAGTAGAACAGATAAAAAAAAAACTACTAAGAGGGATAATGTATTAAGTTGTTCATTAATGGTGGCTTGATCAGCATAGCCCTGACTGTTAATGAATATCATTAATGTGGTATTATTTACACCCTCTTTTAGCTCACTAATAAAGATTCTAGGTATATTGTGCCAGGCATCAACTGTCTAGAGAAAAAGTAGCTCCAGTTGACATTATTTAATCATTCATTTCTGGTCCTTGAGATATATTGTAGCCTATTTAGAAGCTTGTGTCTGAACCTGAGAACCATAGGTCCTTGAGACTGATATATCAGCCATTCTATATGATGTTTTTAATTCCATACATGAAATTGTCATATCCTTTCAACACGATTTTTCTCTTATAATCCAAAATCAAATGATCATTATTATTGAGACTATATTAGCCAAATTTCAGGAGTTGTTTGCCTTATTGCATTAGGTTTGTTTGTACAGCATGTGAATTTCATTAGCAAGGCAAACACACATCCAAAATCTCATTGTTTGTGCTCCTACCCACAAAAGGTCAGTGGTATATGAACAAGCCACTGCATTTTTACATCTCTGTCTTCAATATTTCATTTTAACTTCATTTTTAGTTAATCCAACCCTCTTTTCTTTGCACTTGTCAATTTTTTTTCTTAGAACTAATATCTCATTTTCATGTTTTCTCCAAAAAATTATTGGATCTCCTGGTATTCCGAAGTACCTTATTTATCAGGGATAACTCTATTATGTCACTTTTCCTGTCATAGTCACCTCTTTTTATTTACATATCTCTTATTGCTCTGCACTGTGAACATCTGGAGAGCAGAAATCTTGTCATATTTGTCTTTATTCCTTAGTGTTTAGCATAAAGTGAGCACTCAGTAAATGTTTGCTAAGTAAATGAGTGAATTAAAGGCCTGTGAATAGGGACATTTGATAGAGACCTTAATTTGAATGAATCAACTTTTTATTAGCAATTTACATTAGAATAGCCCTCCCCAAACCTTGTCATTTTTATTAGCACTCTTTAAAGAAATGTTGTTTCTAAGTACAGTTCCACTGCGTTTAATTGTTTATAAAAGAGTAACTATACAATTATTTACTGTTACTATTTTAATCACAGTTTCTTAGATAACCATGACTTTCTTATTTTAGGAATAAAAAACAAAAGTCAATAAAGTGAGTCTAAAGGGGTATATATTTTAAAGTTTTCATAATATATAATGATTTAAGAAAATGTTAGACTTATCTCCACCACAGTGTAGATTAATTCAAAGTGGATCTATAGCTAGTGCCCTAAATTTAGCTGATGACTTAGCTATTTTTCATACTTATGCTTTTCATATAAATCAAATTATGATTAGTAAATAGTATTTGTAATATAAACATATATATATTTAAAAATAATAAACTGTATTGGCAACTTAAACACCAAAAACAAAGGATGATTTCAACCACAGTGGGAATGTTTCTACAGTACTAAATATTGAGAGCTTATAAAGCACAGTGTTCTTAGTCCCACATCAGCTGCAGAGCACAGAAGGAAAGAAAAATACAGGAAGAGTTTTATTTAACTTTTGGAATTAAAAAATACTTATTCATTCATCTGAAAAGCAGAGTTACAGAAAGAGAGAGAGAGAAAGCAGAGAATTGACAGAGAGAGAGAGAGAGAGAGATCTCCCATCCATCCATTCACTCCACAAATGACCACAATGGCCAGGGTTGGGCCAGGCTGAGCCAGAAGCCAGGAGATCCATCAGCATCTCCCATGTGGATGCAGGGGGCCCAAGTACTTGTGCCATCCTCCACCACCCTCCCAGGCACATTAGCAGGGACAAAGATTAGAAATGAGGTTAAGAAGATATTTTCATACACAGGTAAAAATAATGACCTTTCTTGAGTTAACCAGAAGTCATTGAGGCTTTTCTAATGCTATGCATTGTATATACACTTTGCTCACTGTAATTTACAAATTGGTATTGTTATATATACCATGTGCTTTCAATACGAAATTAATACAATTCATCTAAATCACCATCATGAAGCTGCCCTGAGGTAAAAAAATTAAATATTTGGAGTGAGTCTTTGATATCCAGGCTCACGGAAAATTTCAATATTTATCATCTAAGCCAATTTTACTGAAGATTTGGACTAGTGGTAATAGCAAGTTGAGGATTGTACGGAAACAGCCACATTCATTCCATTTTATACTTACATTATATCTTCTAAACAACAATGAGATATCTGAAATTAAAAATCTAACTTAAAACTGAGCACTCTAAGCTATGATAAATCTATCTTCCAAGTCAAGCCTTCCAGCTCCCTTTCCAACCAGATGATGTTCTTGGAGGCAGGACACCTGTGACACTCTCAAAAGACATAATGAATATCCCTTCCTATAGTGCTGAGTTTCATTTTCTCTCTAGCTGCCTTGTTTCTTTCCTTGTTATTTCAAATAATAAACTCTTACATGGGATTTGTTTTAAGCAAGAATGGTAAGAATCAGGAATAATTAGACACATAGACACTGGCATGATGTCATAAAAGAAGAAGTTCTATTCACAGAGCGCTACAAATAGGAAGTACAACACTTCATGTAGGGCCAACAGAGAGCCATCATGGGCCATCATGGGCAATCACAAGGCAGAGACAAGAGCTTATACAGTGTTTTCCATAGGAAGGAACTAGTGACAAGGGTAAGCAGCCTTAGAATTTCTAGTTGACATAATTACAGTGGCTTTTTGGCCTATGATTGTACCTACTTGTCTGATATCTATCTGTGGGGCAACTGGGGCACTGAGGGAGTGATCTAGAATGTAGGAGCCCAGGGGGTCTAATAAAGGAAGTGACTGAGGATATGGGATCTGGACTGATGGGTTTGCATGCAAATATTACCCTTTCAGGACAGTTCTTTTTCCATTGTTATGAACAATCACATATATGTAAGAGCAATACTCTTAAGAATTCAGAGCATTAAATATAGCACGTATATAATACTGTTCTGATGTCTTTCCTTGCCCAGCATGAATCAATCCAGTCACATTCTGTACTTGCACCATTTAAAAATATATTTCCTGGGGGGCGGAGCCAAGATGGCAGAATAGTGAGGGCGCACAGGGAAAAGATAGTTTAATAAAAGTGGAGTTACTGTAGTCTCAGGAAAAGGCTCAGGAAAAAATTGCAGAGGAAACTCTTCCAGATCTAGTGGATGTGATATGGAGGACCTACAGGGAGAGCAAGGTCGCCCACCACGTGGGAGCCCAGCTGCAGAGTCTGCACCAGCGCTGGAAGGGGAGGTGAGACAAAAACCTCAGTAACCCGAGACATTGGTGGGGAAAGGCAGAAAGAGCCTAGAGGGAATGAGGCCTGAAGCCCCGCTGGGGAAAGTTCAGCAGGCTGACTGGAGGAGAGAAAAAAAACGAATAAATAAGGGGAACCGGCATGGACACTAGCATCTCTCTCCAATCACCTTACAAAGCTGAGCAAGACAAAGAGCAGGCGCCATTTTGGACATACATAAAACGGCGCCCACCATTAGCCAAGCAGAAAAACCTGAGTATAGTGGGGAGAAATAAAGGAGGTTAGGACCTAGTGAAAGTGTGGAGCTAACGAACTGAGACTGTGAAAATCTGAGGGGGGGGGGGGCGAGAGAACTCACCGGGTACACAAACTCGGTAACCTTGGCAACCTGGTGAGAAACTGCGGGGAAATTTGAGACCACACTGAGGACTGCATAAACTCTTTGTGTGGTCCCAAAGGTAGAGCAGACAAATACCCACAGGGGCCAGATTTCATACATCAACTACCCTCAATTCCACTCAGCTGTGTGAAATTACTTCCCTTCTGAGTCAAGAAAAAAAAAAGAGAGAGAGGGAGAGAGCGAGAGAACAATCTGGGTAAGTCACCTTTGGCACACCCCTAACCCTGAAGAACCAAACAGAGCTCTCTGGCCACACCCATCACAGCCTCTAAAGATCCATCAAAAGCAGACAGTCTACTTAATCTAGAGTCATAGTATAATGAGAAAAAGCACCACAGTGAAGAAACCAAAGAATATCTCCACAATGCCAAACAACAAATGCAAAAACCGAGGTAACAACAACAAGGAAGTCACTGATGCCCCCAAATGAAAAAGACACCCAATTCAAGATTATGAAGATGATGAGATAGAAGAAATGCAAGAAGCGGATCTCAAAAAATTGATAAGAACATTAAGAAGTCCTTAAAAACAAATTCTTGATCTACAGAAATCCTTAATGGACAAGATAGAAAATCTCTCTCATGAAAATGAAATATTAAGGAGGAAACAAAATGAAATGAAACAACTAGTAGAACATGAAACTGTGATAGTGACGAGAAATCATAATGAAATGAAGAATTCAATAGATCAAGTGACAAACACATTAGAGAGCCTTAAAAACAGAATGGGTGAAGCAGAAGAGAGAATATCAGACTTAGAAGACACAGAACAGGAAAGGATACAGTCAAACCAAAGAAAAGAAGAGGAAATTAGAAATCTAAAACATATTGTCGGGAATCTTCAGGATACTATTAAAAAACCCAACATTCGGTTGTAGGAGTTCCTGAAGGCATGGAAAGGGAGAAAGGATTAGAAGGCCTTTTTAGTGAGATACTAGCAGAAAATTTCCCAGGTTTGGAGAAGGACAGAGACATCCTAGTACAGGAAGCTCATAGAACACCTAATAAACATGACCAAAAGAGATCCTCACCACGACATGTTGTAATTAAACTCACCACAGTGAAACATAAAGAAACGATCCTACAATGTGCAAGAGAGAAACGTCAGATTACTCTCAGAGGATCTCCAATTAGACTCACAGCTGACTTCTCATCAGAAACCCTACAAGCTAGGAGGGAATGGCGAGATATAGCCCCGGTACTAACAGAGGAAAAACTGCCAGCCCAGAATGTTATATCCTTCAAAGCTCTCATTTGTGAATGAAGGTGAAATAAAGACCTTTCATAGCAAACAGAAATTGAAAGAATTGTCCAGCCCTGCAAAAAAATGCTTAAAGATGTGTTACACACAGAAACACAGAAACACAGCCATCAATATGAAAGAAGGTAAAGGAAGAAAACCTACCAGTAAACGATCATAGGAATCTCAAAGCATATAGTAGAAAATATCTTTGGGAAAATGGCAGGGCAAAGTCAATACTTATCAATAGTCACATTGAACGTTAATGGACTCAACTCTATAGTTAAAAGGCACAGACTGGCTCAATGGATTAAGGAACAAAACCCATCTATTTGCTGCCTAAAGACATCTTTCCAACAAAGATGCATACAGACTGAAAGTGAAAGGCTGGAAAAAGATATTCCATGCCAACAGAAACCAAAAAAAAGCAGGTGTAGCCATATTAATATCAGACAAAATAAACTTTAACACAAAAACTGTGAAGAGAGACAAAGAGGGACACTATATAATGATTAAGGGTTCAATTCAACAGGAAGATGTAACTATTATAAATGTATATGCGCCTAATTACAGCACACAGGTTTATTTAAAAGGTATGTTAAGGGACTTAAAGGGAGACTTAGATTCCAATACAATAGTACTGGGGGACTTCAATACTCCACTCTCAGAAATAGACAGATCAACAGGACAGAAGATCAACAAGGAAACAGCAGATTTAATCAACACTATTGCCCAAATGGATCTAACAGATATCTACAGAACTTTCAATCCTACATTTAAAGATTTTACATTCTTTTCAGGAGTGCATGGAACCTTCTCTAGGATGGACCACACACTAGGCCATACAGCAAGTCTCAGCAAATTTAAAAGAATTAGAATCATAACATGCAACTTCTCAGACCACAGTGGAATGAAGTTGGAAATTAGCAACTCAGGAATCCCTAGAGAGTATGCAAACACATGGAGACTGAACAACATGCTCCTGAATGAACAATGGGTCATAGAAGAAATCAAAAGAGAAATCAAAAACTCTCTGGAAGTAAATGAGGATAACAACATAACATATCAAAACTTATGGGATATGGCAAAAGCAGTGTTGAGAGGTAAGTTTATAGCAATAGGTGGCTACATCTAGAAATTGGAAAGGCACCAAAGAGATGAGCTTTCAATTCATCTCAATGATCTAGAAAATATGCAGCAAACCAGAACCAAATCTAGTAGGAGAAGAGAAATAATTAAAATCAGAGAAGAAATCAACAGGATTGAATCCAAAAAAAAAAAAAAAACATTACAAAAATCAGCCAAATGACGAGCTGGTTTTTTGAAAAAATACACAGACCATCCCATTGGCCCAACCAACTAAAAAAAAAGAGAAAAGACCCAAATCAATAAAATCAGAGATGAAAAAGGAAACGTAACAACAGACACCACAGAAATAAAAAGAATCATCAGAAATTACCACAAGGACTTTTATGCCAGCAAACAGGGAAATCTATCAGAAATGGATAGATTCCTGGACACATGCAATCTACCTAAATTGAACCAGGAAGACATAGAAAACCTAAACAGACCCATAACTGAGAGAGAAATTGAAACAGTAATTAAGGCCCTCCCAACAAAGAAAAGCCCAGGACCAGATGGATTCACTGCTGAATTCTACCAGACATTTAAAGAAGAACTAATTCCAATTCTTCTCAAACTATTCAGAACAATCGAAGAAGAGGGAATCCTCCAAAATTCTTTCTATGAAGCCAGCATCACCTTAATCCCTAAACCAGAGAAAGATGCAGCATTGAAAGAAAGTTACAGACCAATATCCCTAATGAACATAGACGGAATAATCCTCAATAAAATTCTTGCCAATAGACTGCACAGCACATCAGAAAAATCATCCACCCAGACCAAGTGGGATTCATCCTTGGAAGGCAGGGATGCTTCAGTGTTCGCAAATCAATCAACGTGATACACCACATTAACAAACTGCAGGAGAAAAAACATAGGATTATCTCAATAGATGCAGAGAAAGCATTTGATAAAATTCAACACCCTTTCATGATGAAAACTCTAAGCAAATTGGGTATAGAAGGAACATTACTCAATATAATCAAAGCAATTTATGAAAAACCCATGGCAAGCATCCTATTGAATGGGGAAAAGTTGGAAGCATTTCCACTGCGATCTGGTACCAGACAGGGATGCCCAATCTCACCACTACTATTCAATATAGTTCTGGAAGTTTTAGGCAGAACCATCAGGCAAGAAAAAGAAATCAAAGGCATAAAAATTGGGAAGGAGGAAGTCAAACTATCCCTCTTTGCAGATGATATGATTCTTTATTAAGAGGATCCAAAGAACTCTACTAAGAGACTATTGGAACTCATAGAAGGGTTTGGCAAAGTAGCAGGATATAAAATCAATGCACAAAAATCAACAGCCTTTGTATACACAGGAAATGCCACAGCTGAGAAAGAACTGCTAAGATCCATCCCATTCACAATAGCTACAAAAACAATCAAATACATTGGAATAAACTTAACCAATGACATTAAAGATCTCTATGATGAGAATTATAAAAACTTAAAGAAAGAAATAGAAGAGGATACGAAAAAATGGAAAAATCTTCCATGCTCATGGATTGCAAGAATCAACATCACCAATATGTTTATTCTCCCAAAAGCAATTTACAGATTCAATGCGATACCAATCAAGATACCAAAGACATTCGTCTCAGATCTAGAAAAAATGATGCTGAAATTCATATGGAGACACAGGAGACCTCGAATAGCTAAAGCAATTTTGGACAACAAAAACAAAGCCAGAGGCATCACAATACAAGATTTCATTTCATACTTCAAGGCAGTTGTAATCAAAAGAGCATGGTACTGGTACAGAAATAGATGGATAGAAAATGGAACAGAAGAGAAACATCAGAAATTAATCCAAACATCTACAGCCAACTTACATTTGATCAAGGATCTAAAACCAATCCCTGCAGTAAGGACAGTCTATTCAATAAATGGTGCTGGGAAAACTGGATTTCCACGTGCAGAAGCATGAAGCAAGATCCCTTCCTTACCCCTTACACAAAAATCCACTCAACGTGGATTAAAGACCTAAATCTACGACCCAACACCATCAAATTATTAGAGAACATTGGAGAAACTCTGCAAGATATAGGCACCGGCAAAGACTTCCTAGAAAAGACTCTGGAGGCGCAGGCAGTCAAAGCCAAAATTAACTATTGGGATTACATCAAATTCAGAAGTTTCTGTACTTCAAAAGAAACAGGAGAGTGTAGAGGTAACCGACAGAATGTGAAAAAGTATTCTAAAACTATGCCAGAGATAAAGGATTAATAACCAGAATCTACAAAGAGATCAAGAAACTCCACAACAACGAAACAAACAACCCACTTAAGAGATGGACCAGCCGGCGCCAAGGCTCAAAAGGCTAATCCTCCACCTAGCAGGCAGACCAGGTTCTATTCCCGGTCGGTGTGCCGGATTCTGTCCCAGTTGCCTCTCTTCCAGGCCAGCTCTCTGCTGTGGCCCAGGAGTGCAGTGGAGGATAGCCAAATGCTTGGGCCCTGCAGTCCATGGGAAACCAGGAGAAGCACCTGGCTCCTGCCTTTGGATCAGCGCAGTGCGCCGGCCGCAGCGCACTGGCCAAGGCAGCCATTGGAGGGTGAATCATTGGCAAAAGGAAGACCTTTCTGTCTCTCTCTCTCTCACTGTCCTCCCTGCCTGTCAAAAAATAAATAAATAAATAAAAGAAAAGAAAAAGAGATGGGTCAAGGACCTCAATAGATATTTTTCAAAAGAGGAAATCCAAAGGGCCAACAGGCACATGAAAAAATGTTCAAGGTCACTAGCAATCAGGGAAATGCAAATCAAAACCACAATGAGCTTTCACCTCACCCCGGTTAGAATGGCTTACATTCAGAAATCTACCAACAACAGATGCTGGCGAGGATGTGGGGAAAAAGGGACACTAATCCACTGTTGGTGGGAATGTAAACTGGTAAAGCCACTATGGAAGTCTATCTGGAGACTTCTCAGAAACCTGTATATAACCCTACCATTCAACCCAGCCATCCCACTCCTTGGAATTTACCCAAAGGAAATTAAACTGGGAAACAAAAAAACGGTCCACTCCTTAATGTTTATTGCAGCTCAATTCACAATAGTTAAGACCTGGAATCAACCTAAATGCCCATCAACAGTAGACTGGATTAAGAAATTATGGGATATGTACTCTATAGAATACTATACAGCAGTAAAAAACAATGAAACACGGTCATTTGCAACAAAATGGAGGAACCTGGAAAACATTATGCTAAGTGAAATAAGCCAGTCCCAAAGGGACAAATACCATGTGTTCTCCCTAATCGGTAACAACTAACCGAGCACCAAAAAGGAAACCTGTTAAAGTGAAATGAACACTATGAGAAATGGTGACTTGATCAGTCCTTGCCCTGACTGTTGATGAACAACTTAATACTTTATCCCTCTTAGTATTTTTTTTTGTTCTACTCAATACTATTGGTTGAATTCTGTAATTAGTACACAGTTATTCTTAAGTGCTGAAACTTAACTGAAAAGTGATCACTGTTAAATATAAGAGTGGGAATAAGAGAGGGAAGAGATGTACAATTTGGGACATGCTCAAGCCAACTTGCCCCAAATGGTAGAGTTAGAAACATACCAGGGGATTTGAATTCAATCCCATCAAGGTGGCATGTACCAATGCCATCTCACTAGTCCAAGTGATCAATTTCTGTTCACAATTGATCATAATGATAGGACTAAGAGTCAAAGGGATCACATATCAAGACTAGTGTCTGCAAATACTAACTGATAGAATAAAAAAGGGAGAGAATGATCCAACATGGGACGTGAGATACACAGCAGATTCACAGCATGGCAGATGTCCTAAACAGCATTCTGGCCTCAGAATCAGCCCTTAAGGCATCCGGATCCAGCTGAAAAGCCCAGGAGAGTATTTCAGGCATGGAAAGCCAAAACACTATGGCAAAAAAAAAAAAAAAAAAAAAACCTAAATGAAAGATCTCCAGGAGTGAGATCCCAGTGGAAAGAACAGGGCCAAAGAAGGAGGTACCTTTCTCTGAAGGGAGGAGAGAACTTCCACTTTGACTACGACCTTGTCTAAATATGATCAGAGTTGGTGAACTCAAAAGGCTTCCATAGCCTTGGCAACTCATGACAAGAGCCTAGGGTGATTACTGAGGCCATAAACAAGAGTGTCAATTGGTTAAGTCAACAACAGGAGTCACTGTGCACTTACTCCTCACGCAGGATCTCTGTCCTTAATGTGTTGTCCAATGTGAATTAATGCTATAACTAGTACTCAAACAGTATTTTTCACTTTGAGTTTCTATGTGGGTGCAAACTGTTGAAATCTTTACTTAATATATACTGAATTGATCTTCTGTATATAAAGAGAATTGAAAATGAATCTTGATGTGGATGGAAGGGGAGAGGGAGCAGGAGATGGGTGGGTTGCGGGTGGGAGGTACGTTATGTGGGGTCGGGATGCCATTGTAATCCATAAGCTGTACTTTGGAAATTTATATTCATTAAATAAAAGTTTCAAAAATATATATTTCCTACAAATGAATCCTCATCTGTTCTTGTGAAGTAGTCCAAACCAGTTTTGCTATATACAATAAAAATGGGTTTATTTATTCTTATTTTTGTAAATATCTATCCCATCTAAAGGTTGTACATCTGCTCACTACCGTCTCACTTTGAGGCTACAGTGACAATAAGTTCATATATCCATAGATATGCTTGTTACATAAATGCAGAAACAACTAAAGGCAGTAGGCAGAGTCAGGAGATCTACTTTGTTATTTTAATGAAGCTTCAACTGTCCTTTCAGTGCTCCAATAATACTTTGTGTAAAAAATTCACCAAAGGGAAGTTACCAATGTCTAAAAGACAGTTTTATCAACAAATAGTGGATTTCAGAAATAAAGAGTCACTTAGGTTAACAGCCAACTGCAGAACTGTTTCTGAATCAACCTCAAGTGCCATTCTGAAAGGCAAAAGATATTAAAAATCCCTGGCTCCCAATGACCTGTTTATTAAGGGTAATTGAACTGTTTTTACAATATTAGTTCTAGCTATTCCTCATAGCTGGAATACCAATATCTCATTAAGAAAAAAAAAATCTCACATCAACTGTGCTAATTAACGAAACATGAATTGTTGATCTCCAGAAAATCTAGTCCCACAGCCAAAGGATTGTGGAGTCAATGCCTCTGGATTAGGAAAG